AAATTCGTTTTATGTATAAGAGGATTGAAAACTTGAACTTTTAATTTGAATCTTTTTAATAATTGTTTTGACATTTTTATAATTCTTAATACTATATTTTATGTAAGTTTCTAGTGGTGTTGAAGGCATCTGAAATACCTATGTCAAATTTCTATGTATCTATTAGTATATCTACATGCACCAACTACCACACATCAGAGGTTCATTTTATCATATTATTTTTTTAACATCAATGCCTTTTTACAACTAACAAGATAATTTTCGAATCTCTCTTAAGACATGGTAGTTTAAAGTCTGATTTTTACCAACTTCAAACACAAGGTGTCTACTTGTCTACATCTATTACTTAAACCATAGGATCAGACTCACTATGGCACGAATAATATTTTTAAATTAAAACAAAATAATTGCCTGTACATATTTTTTAGATTTTATGTTTCATTTTAAACTAATGTTAAGTTCTAAGGAATCTTGAATTAAATTTTCAAAATTTAGATATAAAAAGAAAAGTTTTTATACATTTCTAATAAAATAATAGTTATAGGTACATTTTTTAAAACTGAATTCTAACTTTAAAGTTTAAATGCATATAAAAAAATTGTATCCATGTGTTTTAAATATTTTTGTATAGGTATCTATAAGTAGATAAGTTTTTTAAAATTAAACTTGGCATACACAGTGACTGTGAAATTTCATGCTTAAGTATTAGCGTGAAATGACCTATTATTAAACTTAAAAGTAAGAACATTATCTGTGTTATCTTATTAGTTTTTTACAGTATTTTAATTTTTAAGTAAAATATGAGAATATTAATACTAATATTTTACAAGTTCATAACTCACTTAAATATTAAAACACTGTACAAATCTATAGAGAACACAGATAATGTTCTGACCTTGAAGTTCAATAATAAGTAAATTTACTAAAATATTTAAATACATAAAATTAGAACTGTTGAACATAAATTATGTTACATTACGTTAATAAGATGGAGATCATACACGCAGGTACAATCTTTTCTTAATGAAACAGAATAAATGTAAAGTATTAGAAATGTTATAAAGACATACAATTAATGGCTATGAGTAATGACTATTTAGCATTGATTATCTAATACACCTAGTTATAATTTTTTATTTTTTACATTCTATGATATAACTTGTAAGATATATTAATGATAAATATTATGGATAATTAAATTTAGATTAGCATTTTCTCAATAAAAAATAAAATGGATTACGTATCAATTAAAAACCATTCATATAAAATGTATGTATTCCTAACACTATAAGGTTCCTGACCATAATACACCAATATAGTAGTTGCTTTGAACAAAAAAAAAAAAAAAAATGTATTACCTACTAACAATGTACAACTAAAATATTTTCCAACTATTAATTTAATATTTTATAAATATGATAAAATACTTTTGTATAAGTACTAGTATTACGTAATTATATTCTAGGTGGGTATTAGTTTTTATTTCTATAAATTTGTAAAACAAATATACTAGCAATATAGGTTACTCTTTCAAAGACTGTACGTTACTACGTCCAGCAGTTTTTTTTCATTTACTTTCATGATAAACAAATAAAACATCACATATTATGTTTTGATCAAAACATATTGTTATATTCAAATTCAATATAATTTTTAGTATTTAATTAAAGAATGGTAATATTTTTTACCTAATATTTATAATATCAGATCATTGACAATGCATAATTTTTAAATAAATACATTTTTCTAATCAATATAGGTCTATCATATAATATATTTATACGTAATAACTGTCTTAGAAAAACAAACTAAAATTAAAAACATAATTATTTTTTTTTGAATACAAAATAAAAAGTCAACACATTATATTAATAATTAAACAAAAACAGCAAATTATAATTATTTTGCAAAAATTATTCATGAAATATTCCTTTATAATTTATAGCTATAATTTGTTAATACATCTTTAAAATATTTGTCTTTTTGAATGACATAATTTAAAAATTGTTTTAGACACATTTTAATTAATTTAATATTATTTTATTTAAGGCAATTTACTATAAAGATTGTAATAAAATATTAGATTCAAACAACTAATTGGCACTGTCAAAAAAAAAAAAAAAATTGAAATTTATAAATCAGCCAGCCATGTAAGAATTTTGATGAATTTTACCAGAAAAGACATAATACAATCAAAACATACCCTGACAATTTAACAAGTTCTTTTGTAACTCACAAAAATTATATACAAAAGTCTTGAAAAATGTATCTGCAAATTATAACATACTTAAGCAACAATTTTTTTTTTAAATATTTTTTTTTTTTTGTGTTTTAATTGTGTAACATTGATTAGCAAGCAATTGTAATGTAAATAACAAAATAATAAATACATTTAAAAAAGAATATAAATGGCTGATTTAGTGAAACTATACAAATGGTATAAACAGAATAATCACAGCAAAACTTACATACTAGATTAAATATTTACTCAAAATGGTGACACATGGAATAAATTCAAACACTAACAAAATACCTACAAATCAGCAACATTAACATAACAACACAATTTATTATAATCCTATATTACTTAACTATTAATATTAACTTTGTACATTTAGAAAATGAAAGAAAGAAAAATAAACAGAGGAATTCTTTGCACTGTTTTGTACTATATCTTTACAAAATCATATAATTAATATTCAATATACTTAAAAAAAAAAAAAAAAGAGGTAGATGGATTAGGAAACAATGATATACATTGATTACAATAATAATGATAATTAAGATAATATTAAAATTACTTAAAAGAAAAATCTAAAGATATGAATTAGATAATATTAGCCTAATTTATATAATTATTCTAAAAACCTTATCAGAAGTGGAGGTAGTCAATTTGTACTATAGGTCATCATTAAAAATATTACTATATAATTTCTTAAAGTGATGTTTACCTAATAACAATAAAGAATTAACACTTAATGTCACTCTAAATGTGGAATGTCGTAATTTATAACAGAATACTGAACAAACTTATTACAGATTGTCTGCACCTTAATTTTAGTGCAAAAAATTCCCCAAATAATATCATAAATTTCTTTACTAATAAACTTTACTTAAGACACCAAATTGTACTCTGAGTTATGTACCAAACACGGTAATCATTTTGTTTCAATTATCACTAAACGAAAAAAAAAAGATTAATAAATCATATAATAAAATGCTTGTAACAATAATAAAAATAATATGTTATGAATGGTATATCTTACACAAAATAAAAAAGAAAAAGGTTAAGTGAAACTTAACAGTTGGAAATTATGTAATGAAATATATGAAAAAAAATAATAATAAACATAACAACCAACTAATCTACTTGTGTAAGACAAACCAAAACAAATAAATATGCAAAAATTTTTTGAATCTTACAGTTTGTTAATGTGTAAAGTGACTGCGAAAATAAAGTAAGTATACGTTTTTAGTAATGAAACAGGCAAAAACATATAATAAAATTCTTAATGGTTTAAATAACAAAATAAATAATAAAACAGCTTAATCTAATAAAAACTATAACATGTGGTATTAAAAATACTTGTACTATCGTTACATTAAAACTACACGAGGCGAAATGGTAAGTATATATTATTGACTTATGTCTCCGCCGCAGTTCGCCTCATTTTATACTTTATTAATTATATTATTGTTAATATTTTTTTTTAAATTTTTAAATTTTTTATTTTTTTTTTTAAACGTAAAATATTTACTTAATTTAAAATTTGTACATCAAGCCGAAACAAGTTATTAAATTAAAGTAGCGATGACATCTTAATTGAATTATTAAATGTGTCATTGACTACACAAAAATGTAATTAAGAAAAAATATATGCCTAAAACGATTTTTTTAATATAAAGATGTATGCGAACGACAAGCGCTTTAATATTGATTCCAAATATAAAAATAAATTTCTATTTGGATTTATAATCAAGGTATACATATATAATACACAATTATTTTAAGTATGCATAATAACACAATAAAAACAAATTCTGGCTTCGATTATATTGTGACTAGTGGAGCAGTATTAAATGACTAGTATTAAAAAAAAAAAAAAACAGTAACGGTTAAATTTTGGAAAATGAATGGTACATTTTTGTTTTTAAGATATTTGAATCAAATTTAAATTTTCTATCAGGTACAATATATTATGCAATAATAATTTTCAATATGTTCACTATGTGTAATGCATTTAAAATACAAATTACAACAATGTATAAATAAGCATACTGATAATACAAATAGTGTATTACACTAAAAATATGATATTTTATTAATAGATTGTTCTGGGCTTTGTCTCTATTTTCTAATAATAAGTTTTCCTTACTTTTTTTTATGCTTGGAAATTATTCTGACCATAAATGAAATATTACACGCTGTAAATATATTAATTATAAATTAAAATTTTATATAATGTTAATTCACGTGTATAGTTTTCAATTCAGATGTACTTGAAATAAATTTTTCTTGAAAAATTCAATATATTTATAATTCAATACCTTAACAATCAATATCATAAAATCGTTTCAAATACTAGACAAGAAGTTATTAATATCTCAATGTTAAATATGTATAATTTTGAGCTATTAACCCAATTTAGTCCACTTTAATATTTAACAATTAAGTTAATAATTCCCCTTTCCCCTCAAGGTTATATTATAAACTCCTTTTTTTAAAAAAGGGCTCGAATTTTCTAAAATATAAGGCTAACAATTAACAACAAAAACCGAATTCAATTACTTATAAAAATGAATACAAATTATATTAAAATGTACCATTCAAAGCCACTTTTTTTTTTATCAATACACAATAAATGATAAGAGAGCTGCTTAATGACTTAACTAACAGCGTATTACTATAACTTATGGAGACATAAGCAATCCACAGAATCAACATTAACATTTTTAATATTATAAATAATATATTATAAGTTATATATGAATATATAACGTGTAAAAATCATTGAGGTAAGTTTCACATTGAAGGCGGTGTCATAAAAATGTATTTTCACCTAAAAACTAACACCACCTTCATCAGTCTTAATAGTTGCAGAAGTGTTTATGGTTTACATTTGTACTTTAAAGGCAGTTAGTCTGCAGTTTGCTTATGTACCAGACTATTTTATATTCAACTGGTGGTATGATTAATGCTTAAGGAGAGGTAGATAAACATATAAAGTGTTGGGGAGGGTAAAATATTTGGGAAAGAGGTAGATTTGTTAATAGTTATTGATTGTGATTTGCAGTTTGTGGAAATGTTGGATTTGATTTCACTGCAATTTCTGTTTTGTGTTCTCTGGCGATGTGCCGTCTCACTGTATTATTCCGTGTAAATGTTCGAGCACAAAAAGGACACGGTACTCGAATTCCTTGATGCCTCTGTCTTATATGAGCTCTAAGATTTGTTTCATAACCATATAATCGTTCACAATAAGGACATTGTAATTTTTTACCTATGAAACAAAAAATTAGTTATAGTTAAATAGTTTTTATGTAAAAGTAACAAAAAGTATTTTTCTTAAAAACATTGTTAACTGTATTTAATTTCTTATCAGCTCTTTAAAAAAATCAATACATTGTACTAGATATTCTTACTAATAGTGGTATACTGGTTAAACTAAGTTATCACACACTATATTTTAATATTCAAGAGAGTGAATGTACAATAGATTATCCATTTACATTAAAATAACAGTAATCATAAAAAAAATAAACATGTCATTATTCATAATTTAGTAGAAAAGTAATTGTTGTAAAGCAGTATACATTACCATCAGGGGTTAGAGTTGAAACAACGTTTTTATGAGATGTGTCCATCTTCCACGAGTGATTTGATGGAGATGGTGGCGTTGTCCCATTATCTGGTGTTTTCCATTCATTGGTTGTATTTGTATTTTGTGGAAATTCCCCAGAATTTGGTGCTGTTGTTGCAGGTTCAGATTTAATTCGCAGATCTGTTTTTTTTTTTTAAATATTAACACGAATTAATAGTATAGTATCAATGATAAAGTATGTTTAGTACTATTGTAGTAAAAAATAATTTACCTTCTCCACAATTATTAGAAGCCACATTACGGTAATGATGTGATGAAGTAGTAGCGTCTACAGGACCAGAACTATTTGTTTGGGGCTGATGAGAATTTTCCAAATGCGCTGATGAATGAGAAGAATAGGTCAAAGAAAGAGGAGATTCACGTTCTGGTCTGGAACCATCTCTTAAGACAGATGCTCGAACGCCCAATGTATCGGAAACTGGTGTTGTGTTGGGATTGTTATGGTGCGCTCGTTTATTATTTCTTTGGGGATCAGGTGATGATGGATGCTGTTCAGAATGTACAGTTGTTTGACGATAATGGCATGTTATATAAGGGAGTGGACTAAATGAGGTAGAGGGAAGTTGAGCTTCTGCGGATCCATTTTGTTTTGGTCTTGGAGAATCATTCGCTGATTTGTTTTCATTATTACCTTGTTCACGCTGACTCGTGAGTGACAATTTGTCATATTCAAATGACAGGCCTTTTACCTAATTAACATTTCAGAATATATTTTTATATTGTATTACAAAACTTCAATATCAATAATATCAAACAATTTGTCAATAATATTTGTTTTGTTTTTATTTTTTACTCATATATAGGTAAAATTTTCATAAAAATATTGAATTAATATGAATTAATTTATATTCATAAAAATTAATCAATTTTGATATAGCATTATATTAACAATGATACGAAAATATGAAAATCTTATGAAATTTGAAAATAAGATAATAAATTTTACCTGTAAATTGTCTGCTGTCTTCAAAAAACTAGAGAGCCTTTCTTGAGATATTTGTACTTCGCCACGGTACATGAACTCAAGTAACGATGCCATATTTGTTGACGATGTTCCATCAAGTATGACAATTAAACTTGATCCTAGTGGAGTAGCTTCAAATATTTCTTGAAAATGTTTACTGCATGCTGCCAGAATTAGTTTGTGAGCTTTGAAAGTTTTACCTGATATAATAAGATAGATATTTACTTAATAATTATTTGTTATAGATTTTAATAAGTAATGTATTAAATACTTCAATTATATTACAGCAGAACTTTGATAGTTTGGATATATTAAAGATTTTTCAAAGGTATACCAATGATTAAAATTTTTTACTGTCTTTATATTACTAACAAAACAATACAAACATACTTTCAGCAATTCCAATTTTGTATTGTTAGCTTTAATATTAGAGAGAAGAAAATATAGATAATGTTCAACTTCTTTTTAATAAATCAATTTACTGTAATATGAAAATGTATAATAGAGAAGAATAGAAGAATCTAGTATTGATAGCAAAGGGCCTAAATGGCCTATAATTCTAAAAAAAAAAAAAAATATTGAAACTGTGAAATGTTTATTTTAGTATGTTATGTGTTATTATGACGGAAAAACATATGTTCTTAATAAATTTATGTGTCATCACATTATAGCAATCACTGGATTATTGCAGTTCTACTGTAATTGTATAATACATAATATATTTTATATTACCTTCACAAAACAGAGATACATCTGTTAAACTTTCTGATTTGAAAAGATTATCAAATGCAGTTACAAGGTTGCTACTAAAACTATTCCACTTAAGACAGAACTGTTGCTGAGGGTCCATTCCAGATTGTTGTTGTAACAATATTTAAAAAGACATAACAGTGACCCTATAAAAATAAAAAAATAATTTTTTTGTATTGAACTATAAAATTTCATATGTAGGTAATATAAGATGAATTACCAGCAGTAGAACTTTTAAATGACTAGATATGTATGATAATGAAATAAGGATAAGATTCAATCAATTTATTTTTAAAAATTATAAATAAGTTAAAAATAAACATTTTTTGAATGTACTGTCAAAAATTTAATAACATAGGTTTAGTTAATTTTAAGTTTTAGTACATTAGTTATAGTTTAATTAGTACCTAAATATTGATTGTATAATTTGTCTTATATTTTTAAAATAATTAAAAAATAAATAATAATAAAAAGGGTGAACAATTATTAATTTTATTGAATAACCATAACTTGTTTTTTAGTCAATACAAGCAAAATAATAAATAAGATGTTATTTTATCTCTATAATTAGAAAAAAATTTTAGAAATATAAATTAGACAATATTATATTTTAGTATGAAGTATAATTTTAACTTAGTATTTGTTTTAAATATATTTTAAGTAATATCTTGAAAACTAAGATGAAAAAAAATAATAGGATAAACACTCATTTCACTTTGTTCAATGCAGTATAAATATAAAATGAATATAGATAGTATTGAAATTTAGAAATTAAAAAACTTTATACAATTATTTATTTGTCAATATACCTATGTATACTGAAAATAATTAATGTAGAGCTAATTTATTCACTGAATTTCTATAGTTTATATATTATAAATAGGTACAAAAAAATAAAATAAATGAAATATAGGTACCTACAAGTAACCATATATCATATAAAAAGTAATAAAATAACAGAAATTTTAGTTTAAGCAACCAATTGAGTATTGCATGAACATTAAATCTAAGATAAGAGGTACCATTAAATGTTGAATTTGTTACAATAAAATATGATATAATTTCTAAGTACTTATATACAAATATTAAGAACTTGTATACCTATATCCTACAGACTACTATTATCCGCCATGATACCAACCATCTAAATTAGGTATTACATTCACAGTAATTATGTTTAGTAATTGGTATACCACAAAGTAGATCATTGAAGGAATGTATTTTATTAATTTCCAATTTTATGTCAAATTTCAATCAACAGTTATAAAAAGCTCTTGAGACATTTATTCAATTTTAAATAACGATAAGATTGATAACAGATAATTAAAACATATAAAATCTATAATATCTAATAAATACCATACAATCATGAAATTTTTTATAAAAATATTGTTGTTATATACATGTTGCTGTATAATGTACAATTAGTTAATCAAAACTCATAATTAAAATTATTAAATTATGAAAATTAAAATTATTTATAAAAATAATAAAAATAATTTGTTTGTATCTACCTACTCTGACCTATACTTTTAAGAAATGTGTAGATATTAAAAACTTTCATATAAATTATTCTTAAAGAAATTTATCAAGAATAATTTGAGAAAATATATTTAAACTTAAATAAATATACATATATATTATAGGTACCTATTATTAAAATTATTCATACAAGCAAAAAATTATTTACAGATGTATATTTTTGTCTGTGATTTATTCTATCAGATTACGTCTGGTTTGATTGTTACAAAAGCATAGTAAAAAATTAAATAATGTTTATATGTGATGTTTTGTTGGAAATGTTGTTTTATTATTTTACAGAAACATTTATAGATTTTAAATAATAATAATTAATGTATACAATTGTTTCATTTTTAGTTTTTATATTTAAATTAACATCAAAATTAGGCATACTAAAATAAATAAAAAAAAAACATTTTGCATCATTAACTTTTTAATTAATGACTGTTTATGGTGTCAATAAAATAGATAATAATATATTGGTAAAAAATATGGTATTTAATATTTTGTGGACCTTTCATACTAAGTGAATTATTTACATTTAATGTACTTATTTATAAATACTATGTATAACAATATAAATTGTATAACTAGGATAAGTAATTAACTCAATGTAAAAAAAATAAAATCTAATCATGCTACTAATACAAGAATACAGTATCAATATTAAGACTAATTTTCAACATAGAAAATTTTATTTGATACATGACAGAAAATTTAACAATAACAAACACAAAACAAGTTAAATAAATTGGGAACATATTTACATATACCTTAATACATTTCAACAGATAGAAGTAGTAGCCGATTAAAATCATAGTTGAAATGTATTATTGAATGCAAGATGTAAATTATCATATTTGTGAATAACATTGACCTGTTTTGGCTATATTTACTAAATGTATGTTTATAATTCTATTAGTTAGGTACTTAAAGAATATAGATGTTATGGAGATGAGATCTGCTATACATATTTTTATTCAATAAAAAGTTTTGTAACTATTGTTGTCTATATGATAGAAGTTTAACAAAGCATAAAAAAAACATTTTTTTAGTCATTATATTATTGTAAAAATTTGTAGGATTTTTGTAATGATAAAGATTTAATGAAAATTTAAGAATGTATTGGCTATTATCAATTTAACATAAGTATATGATGATCAGAAATTAATGTAGGTACTTACAAAAATTTTATAGATAATTATTAATTATTGACATTATAATTAGTCATAACTGAATACTAATAATGTAATAAACAATTTAAAACCATCCAAATTTTATAATTAATGAATTAGTATTATAGATACCTGAGACGTTATGTATTATTGATAAAAATAATTAATTGTTATTTTATTGATAATTTAACAAAGATCAATAACTATATTACTATATAAGTCAACTAGCAACTAATAAACTAATATTAATATAGTTTTAAGAACCTAATGCATAAAATTAATGTCAAAATAAACTAATTATAGATAAGTTAAGAGTATGTATCGGTCAATGATAATATGAATATATCCGATACAAATAGTAAACATAAAATGTTAATATTAAATACTAACGATCTCCTAGACTATCTAAGCAAACTGAATAATGAATTACCTATTTATTAGGTGTATTATTTGTAAAATTAATTTTTATAAAGAATGGTGTACATAAAAAGAAAAAATGAGTTGTACTGTAACTGTAAAAATATTATTATAGACTACCTATGCTACCTTAGTGAATAAGTTGATTAATTGGAGTAAATTCATGGATCAGTATAAATTAAACAGAAGATTTCCCAATAGTTTAGCTTGGCTGATTTTTTTAAGATAATCATACTTTTTTAAATAGGTATTTTGATGATATAATTATTTTTAAATTTACTATATTTTATCTAATTAAATAATAACCCACATTTAAAAATATGTATTGTACACACAATTTATCTATAAATGTATGAGTATAATATTCTGATTATAAACAATATTATATATATGCTCAGAATTGTTTTAAAATTACACTATTCTTGATTCTAACTTTTACTTTATTTTTATTAAATTTAAAACCAAGGTATTTTTTGACAACAAAAAAAAGAATGTTTTTTAGGTCAAGCCTTCTTGGCATATCTAAAATAATTTTCCAGGCTTGAAAAATTAGACCCATCTGCACTTGAATGTATCTATGTATTACCTACCTACTTAATCAAAGGAAAATCTAAAATCTCATGGCAAATAATAGTTATACACCTAGAAGGTAGGTAGCTGGGCAATTTCTAGGACTGGAAAAATAAATTGTAATACTATTGAGGATAAAAGTCATTGACTACCTACACACTATATCTGTACATATAACTAAAAAATAAATGTGCAGACTTACCGATCAGCAGGCTGTGGCATAGACGATTCCGTCATACGTTCATGGCATCGAGGTGGCCCCCGGTTGTTGCGTTTTCAGGTCTGCGCAACAAACACATAAAGAGACAATATTTTATTATCACAGACATAGAGTATTGAGTGTTAAATTTTCACCTCACGGAGGCGATTTGATAAGAGACTGGGGGTGAAGTTCGAGGGAAAGTTTTTGACTCGAATTTCAATTTGAACGGCGTATGTCACAATGACCGCGCGAAATGATATCAGTTATAGACGACGACATCAGCTGCTGGTCGTAATATTCGGTACAGTGCAATTGCAAAGATTTGCATAGCGCACGGATGACCGTGAAACTGTGTCGTCGTCGTGTGTGTGCGAGTGTGCAGCAGCAACCACCTACTACCACAGCAGTCGAGCGGTGCGAGTTATCTGGTCGAAGTCGCGAGCCCAATGAGCCAGTGAGGGGCGCCAGCGTCTGCGAACGGAAGCGAATTGAAGCGGCGGCGAGCGATTTGCACGCGGTTGACGGTTCGTCGTCCGTCGACAACGACGACGTCGTCGTCGGCGCGCGGCGACGTCGGCGGCCAGTGGGTGGGTGGGTGGATGGTGATTACCAGAGACGGGGGTGAGAAATGTCCGATTTCCAAACGTTTCGTTATATTATTTTTAGGTAGACCCGTCACATCAAGAGTCGTAGCAGTGATTAAAATATTATTTTGCACACACACACACACACACAAACGAAATGGTAATGTGTCAACGATTAAAAAATAATAATAAAAAATTGATAAAACAATAATAAAAAACAAATTAAAAAAAAAAAAAATGAAAATGATAAAAAAAATTCGCGAATAGCTTCAAAACGGACGTGGAAAAGGCGATCTATAGTGAGTATGTTGTTGTTGTTTTATTACCTTGGAGCAGAGTTGCTCTCTCCGCGAGTGGCGTTCGCGAAAAATTTGTTGCAAGTAAATTATTTAACGCCGCGGACGTGAGTGGTGAAAAAAAATTGCAAAGTTGTGTAATTGGGGGATAGAAAAAAAAAAAAAAACACACTCGCTTTTACACACACACACACACACACACACACACACATACACACTCACACATAAACATGCGCGCACTCACATTCATTCACACACACGCGCGCGAGACGCACACTCGCAGAACGGCAGCAGCAGCAGCGGACCGGAAGGCGAAAATGGCATAATGCAGTAGGTCAAACTGACGAGTCGCGAAGTTTTGCGCTGACGTTTTTGCATCGCTGTTGTACTTCGTTCAGTTACGTATTGCTGTGTCGGCCGCGGCGGTATCGCCGCCGGCGGGGATGGGCCGGGCGGGTTGCGGGAACGTCACGGTGTTGCAGCGCCATACACGTTGCAACACTGCGTTCGACCTTATATGCTGTTGTAGTGCTATGCGTCGTATTGGCGGCGGCGGCGGCGGCGACCGGTGGCCTTCGGCTGCCCGCCGCCGCCGCTCTAGAGAGATCGAATCGCGCGCGCGAAGGTTTTCGTTATGAACGTGTATATGATATATCATGTGTTATAACTTTTCGACAATATTTCGCTCACGCGCGTCGCTCGTTTTTGTTTACGGTGGTGCCTCTCACCCACCCATCCACCCTGCCCGCCCACCGCGGCGCACGCACGCTCGCACGCACTTATTGTGTTCCGTCCGTTTCTCTCTCGCTCGTTTTGCAGCACGCGTTATGCTGTTTTCGATT